CTGTTCAAGCCCTTGGCAGCTGAGTAGTGTCATTAGGCAGCCTCTGAGCCCACCAGTTGCAAATTACTCTGCCTCTGCATGTTGGCTCCTGAGGCCCCTGAATGGGTGGGTATGAGCTCCACTGTAGGACAGGGGTGCACAGGGCCAGAGAGTGCTAGCGCTGGTCTTCCTCCTTTCTCCTGCCAACCAAGGACCTCACTTTCTCACCTTCCCTCAGCCCTTCTGCCCGAGACATTCCCGCTCTGATCTGCCTCACCTCCTCTCCTCTACTTTTCTCCGGCAGCTCCTCACTGACTAGTGGCAGGAATGAAGCTCTGACTCCTCATACCTCAGTGGGCCCTAGAAGATACTTGGGGTTCCTAGAGTAGCCACTAGCCTCCACCAGAGGATACCCTGAGAGTTGAGGTTTAGTCATCCACTTCTGCTCACAGAGCAGCTCCAGGAAGCCAGGGCTTCTTTCCCACTATCCATGAGTGTCCCCTGCTCCTCCTCTGGCTCCTGGACTTGTAGCATTCCTAGGTCTCACTCAGCCATGAAGGCAGGGGCCCCACTTTCATCTGTTCCTTTGAGGCTGCCCATAACCCATACATTCCCCACTTTCTGATGCTCCCCAGTTCCTTCAGCATGGGAAGTTCTTCCTGGACTACTTCATCCTGGTTCTCACTCTCTGCTCCCCAATCACCCAATCACCCCATCATGCCTCTAGAGACTCCCTTCTCACCTCTAGGTGGATCACCTGTTCAGGCTCTCCATTTTCTCTGGGACACGCCTCCCAGGAGGCAGGGGGTGGTGGTGGTGAGGGGGTGGGGAGGGAGGGTGTATTGTGATGATGGGTTATGGTATGCCCCTCAGCCTGGCTCCTTCTGTCCCTGGCGGGGTCACTTCTATGCTGATGCCCCTGCCCCCCCCCACCTTGGACAGGGATGAGCAAGAGAGTTGTGGATCCAGCAGGATTGGTTTCCCTTCCCTGTGGCTCTCATGGATAGCTCAAGGTTCCCACACTTGCTCTTTCTGGTAAGGAAACCCCTAGCTTGAGGCATGGCTAGCTTTATCCTCACACTTGCCTTGCCCAAACAGCGGCTATAAGCACAGTGCCTGGCACCAGGGGACCATGACTTCCTAAAACTCCTGCTCCTTTCCCTTGTGCATCTGTGTGAGACCTTCATCTGCCAGTGTGTACTGTGCCCTTGCTTTGAGTCAGCTTTGTGCATGTACTGGGTTGGGAGGTGTCTGTATGCACACATTCTGCACCCACATGTGTGGCTATCTGTGTGAATATATCCATGAGTGTTAGGTTGGGGTTCTTGTGGGCATAGCATTGTGGTGTACCTTCCACATGCTGGAGACACATGGGGTTGTTCTATATATAGCAACTCTGGGGCTTGTAAATGGGTTACCTAGAACCAACAGCAGGGCCAGGATAGTATTACCTGCAGCACAGTAAGACTCATGGATCCATATTTGCAAGGTTTCCCATGAGGTTCTTAGTCTGCTGGAGTCCATGCTGTGTTGTGAGATCCTTGCAGATCACAGGAAAAGTCCAAACAGCCTCAAATTTTCCTTCAGGGCACAGCTGGGCTCTCTTGCTAGATCTGTTGTTTGTCATTTTAGTCCCTGTTGGTTCCCAGGAGGCAGGTGGAAGTATGTGTATGGGGGTGTCACTTCGTTTCAGGGTGTATGGTATAAGCTGGGCAGATCTTGTAGTTCTTAGACAACCTAGTCAGCAAGGTACTTCTCCCCACACTACTTCAGGCCCTCACACGGAATGACTGGTGGGAAAGGACTGGCCTAGTCTGCTCTGGTTTTCCTGCTGAGGCTCCAGAGACACCAGGCTCCTCTTGGTGACATCATGGCTGCCTCTCAGAGTACCCAGGGAGCAGGCAAGGCCCTAGATGAACAATGAAGAAGGAAGGCATTGAGTGAAGGTTAATTCCATTGTCTGGACATTGTCCTCTAGCCCCTGTGGTCCAGTCAGGTCATGGCTGATACCTAGTATTGCTATTGCCCTGACACACCAACACAGACTGGACAAGTATGCACACCCACACACAAGTATGCATACCAGACACACACATGTATGCTGGCACCTGCAGGACTCTCAAGACCATCTTAAATGGAGCACTAAGTTCCTCAAAGTCCCTGGCAACCCACCCCAAACTCTGAGCCAGGAAACACGATGCCTGAAGCCCTTTCACCTTCACCACCTTATCCTCAGCAAGGCATCACCCCCCCACCCCCACCCCCACCCCAGATATACTGAGACCTCCTTAGAAAATGGGAGTTCCAAGCCAGGTGTTCTGGCACACACCTTTAATCCCAGATGGAGGAGGGGGATGTCTGAGTTCCAGGATAACCTGGTCTATGGAATGAGTTCCAGGACAGCCAGAGATACACAGAGAAACCCTGTCTCAGACAACCAAAAAAAAAAAAAGAGGAACCTTTTGTGTAAGAGCACCCCGCACACTCTGTACACAGGACTCTCTTCCTGCACAGGACAAGAAAAGCCAAAGGAACTTCCCACACATGGGGTTGGTTTCCAAGCTCCCCAACAGGCTTCTAGAAAAGACCATCTTTTAACTCCAGAGTGAGTGGCTACAACTACCAAAAGGTCCACATTCATTTGTATGTCTCACTCATCCTAAAGAAAAAGCAGAGTAAAGAGAAGGGAGGAGAAGGTAAGTAAGCTCAGATCTAGTCCCTCACAAATGGGGTGAGGGCATGGAGAAACTCTAACAGCATACTGTGATTCCTAAGTGTCACTCCCAGTGGTGCAGCAGTAGAGTCCCAGATGCTCAAAGAGGACAAAACCTTGAGTACTGGATTCTGAGATGCCAGGGTGCTGGGCTGCCATCTCCCCCCAAAAGAAGTCCTGTGGAGGTCACTCAGAACCTGACTCTGAACTTCCTCCAAGAGAGTAGCTCTGTAATAGCTCAGGCAATGGAAGGTGAACACAGAGTTCCTGGCTAGAACGTATTTTTGCCATTGGGCCCCAGCAGCTAAGTTTCCCTCAACTCAAGAGTCCCTTCTTGGGAAGACAAATTATGTGAACTCCCTCCCAAAAAAGTTGGAACCTGCAGGTCTCACCTCACAATGAATTAGTTCTTTTAACTCAACCCCCAGTGTCTGTTTCTTTCCTTTCCAAAGCATTTTTTTTTTCTCCCAAAAACGTTGTTTCAGCTGCTCCCAGCCTGGGGTCCTACACAGCACCTCTCTGAGTTTTATTCTAAGGAGCAGGAGGACAAAAGTGGTCTGCCTCTCTCAGACCTGGGATTGAGACTCAAACTCGAGTGGTTGTTTCAAGACTAAAGCTGCTGTGCAACTGATCTAGAGCTTCCACAATGTAGGCAGGAGTATGGCTGGCTCCAAATTTGCTAACTATGGACCTTTACACCACACCATCACCCAAAAGTCTACAGCTGCCCAAAGCCTGGAAGGGTGAGACTTTCAGAGATCTGTCTTATTATCAGGTTGGGCTTGCACCCTTTGGAGAACAGAGGCTGGGTTACCCCTGGGAGAGGGAGAGCTGGCAAGAATGGCCAAGACAGCTTGGGCCACCAGGACACGATTACAATGCACTTGAACTCACCATCAAGGATGCCTGCAGCCCTGCCCTGCCCTGCCTAGATGGGAGCTCAGACTCCTAGAAGGCCAGCCACAGAATGCTCTCTTGGTTACTGAAACATTTGTCAGTTTCTCCCTGCCCTTGCCTATCTGGACATGCCAGCTCAAGTAAAACTGAATCCAGGGACTTGCATATTTTTTCTCTTCCAGGAGAAACACATAAAAAATGAAAGCCACAAACACACCAGGCAGGTTCCAGTGACTTTTGGGTCTAAACAGATTTATTTTTTTTCCCTTCCTCAGTTTTGTAATAAATGAAAAAAAAAAAAAAAAGAACATAACAAAAACCAGCAACACTTTTTTTTTTTTTTTCAAAGAGCATCCTGTTTAGAAGGCTCAGTAGGAGCCGCCTGAGAGCAGCAGAGGACAGGACGAGCATCAGAGCACCAGAGCCAAGCCTCAGAAAACCAGATCTCAACCGGTGCAGAAGCGCCCAGCTTAGATTGCCCGCCGCTGGGCCTCTCTCTCGGCTAGTTCAAAAAGCGACCAAGCTTTTAAAAAGTCCCACAAACGAAATACAATTTAAGTTAAATAAAAACACTTCTCCACCCGCCCATGCCAGGAGGTTCAGGCCTAAGCCTCCTCTTTAAAAAAATTTCTTCTAGAACTGTGCATTACTTTTAAAATTCTTTCGCTTCTCTGGAAGGTTAAAATAATATATATTTCCCCAGGAGTCATAAATACGATCTGGTGCATAGAGAAATAGCAGCGCGGGAGTCCGGGCCAGCCCCCACCCGGCTGAGCACGGCCACCCTCCACCCCCCTCACCCAGTCGAGTATAGCAGGGCAGTGGGACCCACACGCAGTTAAGTTCCTCGGCTTCCTCTACAGGGAGAACCGGACAGAGTGGGGACAAGCAGGCTGAGGGCAGGCAGGGCCAGACCCCTCGGAGCGAGTGAGGGCACATGCTGGCACTCGCCGACCTCCGAGGGCGCACGGGGACCAGGGGATTCCTCAGGGTTTTCTAATTACCAAGCAAAATAAATATTAATGTTGCGAAAATAAGACCGCTTTAAAAAGGAGGAGGAGTAGTAGTAAAAACAGGGCTAGGAAAGAGATACAGAAAGACGACGGAGGAGCGCGGGCCCTGCGGAGGCTACCGGGAGCTGGTGGCCGCGTGTCCCCGCTGCGGGTGGGCGGAGGTCGGACGAAGAACTGCGCTCCATGTCTTTACAAGTGGACGTTGCCGAGGAAATCAGACCTGGCTTGGGCTTCCCTAATATTCACCATTCCCGGGGCGCCGACCGCGACCCCGAGGACGTTCAGAGCCGGGGGACCGGCGGAGGAGGCGCACCGCGGTTAGCTACCTGGAGCTGGGGCTTGGCGGCAGGACGCACGGGGCGGACAGGAAGACCACCACACCTGCCCCGTGCGCGCGTGCGTGTCCCGGGTCTCTGAGTCCGAGCCGAGGCCGGGGCGACCTGCGCAAACTTGTCCCCGGCGGCGGCGAGGCCCAGGGTCCAGCGCTCACAGGAAGAAGTCGGGCGCGCCTTTGACTGCACCGGGGCCCGCCTGCGCCGGCGAGGGCTCCCGAGGGAAGCCGGCCCCGCCCGCGCCCCCAGGGCCACCCCGGCCCGCCAACTTCTCGTATTTCTCCTTATACAGGTCCCGCTCCTTGGCCAGACGCCCCACCTCCAGCTTCAGCTGCTCCACCTGGCTCTGGAGCTGGCATTTCTCGCTCTCCAGAATGTGCCGCTGCTGCACCCGCTTGAAGCGGCACGACTGCGCGTAGCCGCGGTTCTTGAGCGTGCGCCGCTTCTGTTTCAGTCGGATGACCTCCTCCTTGCTGAAGCCGCGGAGCTGCCGGTTCAGCTCCCGCACTGACATGGACACCAGCTGGTCGTCGGAGAAGCGCTCCTCCAGGCGCACGTGGTGGCCCGCGCCGCCCCCGCCGTGACCCGCGCCTCCGCCGTGGTGGCCCGTGCCGCCGTGGTGGTGATGGTGGTGATGGTGGTGGTGGTGAGCAGTGTGGTGAGCGCCGTGATGGTGGCCGGCACCCACGTCGTCCTCACCACCACCGCCCGCGAAGCCCTGGCCCCGGAAGGCCTCATAGGCTGCAGCGGCCACCGGGTGGTGCCCGCCGTGGTGGCTGCTGCCGATGAGAGCTTCCACCGCGTCCTCGGGCGTCAGGTTGAGCGCCTCGGGGTTCAGATGGTGCTGGTACCCGCTCATCCAGTACAGATCCTCCAGCACCGCTTTTCCTGAGGCGCCCCCGACAGTGCCGGGGCCTCCACTCGGCGCCCCCGGGGCGCCCCCGGCTTGAGCTACACCGCCCCCGCCGCCCGCGCTGCCGCCGGTGCCCGGGCTGGGTGCGCAGAAGCTGGGCGAAGAGGGCACCGAAGAGCAGGGCGTGCTGAGGGGCGTCGATGACAGCGAGCCGGGTGGCAGGCGGTGGCAGAAGCGCTCGGCCTCGGGCGGCTCCTTCTTCACCTCGAACTTCATCAGGTCGAAGTCGTTGACGTACTCGATGGCCAGTGGGCTGCTGGGCAGCTCTGCGCCCATTGCCAGCTCCGCGGCCATCGCCCGGGGCCCCAGCCCCGCCGCCGCCGAACCTGGCCGCGCCGCGACGGGCGGTGGGGGAGTGGGGGGGGGAGCCGCGGGTTTCTCTCCCCCTAGCTCTCCCCCCTCGGCCGAGGTTCGTGCAGCGGTGGGCACAGGCTCTGGTCGCGCCGCCGAAGGGTAAAGGAAAAGTTTCGTCAGTCAACTCCGGGCTGCGCTCAGGGAGCGCCGAAGGCCAAACCTCTCGGGCGCCCCCCCCCCCACCCAGGCCCGCTGCGGGCGGGCGAAGGGCCCCGATCCTGCGCTCCTCCTCCTGCTCCTCAGCGGTCCCAGCCAGGAGGGTGCAGAGGCCGCGCCCCGGGCTCTACCGCGCTCGGGGCTGCCCCGCCCCACGCCCCACCCTCCCTGCCGGCCGGCCCCGCCTCCCTCGGCCCGGCACACAGCTGTGCAAGCCTTTATAGAGATGCGCTCCTGAGCCCGCCTCTCCAGGTGGGGGTCTGAGCCCCCGGGCCAATCGGAAGCCCAGCCCTGCTGCCTTCATTTGCCTATCCTCATGGCAACCGGGAGCCCAGCTGTCAATCTCCTACGGGAAATTGCTGTGGGTAGGGTTGAGGATGGGCCGCCGGCAAGAGGAATGGGCAGGGCCCCCTGGTGGCCGACACGGGGAACTGCACAGCGCAAGGTGCGAGACCTGGCGTCAGACTTCTACCTCTGGGCCCTGAGGTCCCAGGATCGTACAGGCAGAGTGCAGTGAAGCTGAGAAGGTCCACGCCCAGGGGACTCCCTTGATGTCTCGGTTCTGTTAGGTGGCCTAGCTAGCCGTGTCCCGCACCCAGCCCGACCGGCCTGGAGTCCCCAGAACGGGGACCTCTAACCATCCTGACACCCGTGACTTCCCGGGAGCACTGGCTATTTTTATCCTGTGGTTGGGACGGGTTCAGAAATTCTGTCAACAAAGTTCCTGGCACCTCAGGCGGCAGCGGGTTGCACGGTGGAACTGCAGGCCTCTGACCAGTGTGGAGAGGGACAGATGGCTGTGGGCCACCATAGGGCTAAGAGAGCAAGCAGGTCTCAGGAGCTACCAAAGTAGAGGGCCCACTGAATGATGTGGAGCTGACAGGTCTGGACATCTGCCAAAGAGTTGCCAAGACCCTACTGCCCACCACTGCAGTTTGGAGGTGTCTTGCCAGGTGGGTATGAGTTGGGGTAACAGTTGGAAACAGATTGCCACCGTCACTCCCGCTGAATGTCTCTACATATCTATGGGAGGCAGACTCTGTGCAAGAGAAATCCATGGGGGAACAACGGTGAGTGAAGAAGAGATGAGAGTTCTACGGCCCTCTAAAATTCCATGACTCAGAATGGGGGTTTTCTCCTCTCAGTTATCTATATTGCTGTTATACTTATTTAACTATTAAAAAATCTTAAATGTAAATCTTTTGTGCACAGAAACATGCCTGGAAGGATGTTCACTGGATACCTATCTCAGGATGCCATGATGACAGCAGCTTTGCCTGCTCCCTCTACAGGTGCCTGCTATTTTATAAGGGGAATGCCTGGAAGCTAGGAGTGAACAGCTCCCAGCTCCTTCCCACAATGACCTGTGGTGTCCTGACTCTCCTCCTCTGGGCAGAAGGAAACAAACAAAAGCATGAAGAACCCCCACAAGAGTTTCCCTTCAGCCTGTCCCAAAGGAGGCTTCAGGGACACATTGGTGGAACACTTATTTTGGGCTCTATAGTCCTGCGGTGGTAGACACAGCCATTTCAGTATAATCATGTCCATTCTAAAGATGAGAAAACAGCCTTTGCCCAAGACAACCCACACTGGGTTAAACCTGGGTACAAAGGGGAGTCTTTGAGATAGATCATGAGGACTCACCAAGTGAGCAAGTGTTTCACCTGCCTGTCTCCTGCAATTTGGCAAAAGGCATGGGACCAGAGGGCTCTGAGTCCCAGAAGCCCAGAGCCTTAAGGATGAACTACAAATCTGGCATTGCATCCCACATGACCTTGGGCATATGGAAAAGAGAGCAGAGGGCAGAGGAAGAAGATCCTGACATTGGGCAGACTGTCTCCTCCAGGTCCCACTGCCTGTATTTTGCCTGTGTACAGTAAGAAAAAGGAAAAATAAAAGCCAGCTGTGGTGGTACACACCTTTAGTCTCAATACTCAGAGACAGAGGCAGGTAGATCATTGAGTTCAAGGCCAGCCTGGCCAACAGAGAGAGTTCCAGGACAGCCAGGGCTACACAGAGAAACCCTATCTCAAAATAAAATAATTTAAAAAAAGTAATAAAAGCAAAAGAATGTTGATCTTCTCCCAGTGTACCATGAACCATCACAAGCTCAGTATCTCAAAAAGTGTGTTCACTCACTGTTTCGGGTGTCAGGTCAGGAACATAGGCAGGGCCTGGCAGGGCTTCTGTTGGCATTTCCCAGGCTGCAGTGAACTGTGGTCTCATTGGGGACAGGGTATTTTTTGACTCTAGGACAGTTGCTGACTTGCTGCTGGCTAGAGGCTGCTGGGTTGGCTGAGTGAAGTGTGAGAAAAGCCAAGGAGACAGGGGAGCCTCAGATGTGAACAGAGGGAAGGGTGAGCCCTGCATGCAGGGGTGAGGGTGAGCCCTGCCTGCATGCAGGGGCGGTAACCTGGACTGAGAGGGACTGCTTGGCAGAAGGGCCAGAGCAGCTGGATCAAGGGCAGACCTGTGAGGGATGCTGAGGAGCCTGGGAGACCATGTGTGGCTCAGGGATTCCTTAAGGGTTCTGCATAGAGGGGATTCAGACTGAGAAGTGTTAGGTGCCTATCGTGCCACCCCCAACAGCCAGTACTGCCTACCTCCTGAGACTATCCAATGCTGCTGCTTGCTATTGGGCTCAGTGTACAGGATACTCAGCTCAACAGCTCCAACAACTACTGGATGGCACCAGCTGGGATATGGTCATAGCACAGGGCATGCATGAGTCACAGTAGGTGGACTCTCTGAATATCACTCCTATATGCAAATGTGACCTGTCCATTGTTGCTTTTAATTCATGGGAACAAGGCTACTGGGTGAAGCTGTGACTGCCAGATTACACAGAGCTGAAACTATTCTCCCTGCTCCTTGTTAGAAAGGGTCTTTCTATGTAGCACAATCTGGCCTTAAACTAAAGGCCATTTTCCCTCTATCCACTGAGTACTGGGGTTACAGGTGTGTGCCACCATGCTAGGCTAGAGATGTGGCTTAGGTGGTGAGTGCTTGTCTGCCATACATCAAGTTTGCTCTCCAGCACCTTGTCAGCTGAGCATGCCAGCACAGGCTGTAATTCCAACCCTCAGGATGTGGAGCAGAAGGATCATCTACAAATCGAGTCAAGACAAGACTGGGATGGATGGACCTTGTCTCCAAACAACAGATTCTGTCCCACAGGTGGAGTCTGCACAGTCCTATGGCAGCTAAATGTGATCATCAACATTTAAAAAGAGGGACTGGACTGTGGAGACGACCCAGTCAGTGAAGTGTGTGTCTTGTAAGCATGAAAATCTAAATTCAGATCCCTGGAAGCCATGCAAAAAGTATGATGTTTGTAATCCCAGAAATGGCCAGATGGGAGGGAAGTGGAGAGAGGTAGATCCCCATAAGGGAACAGATCCTATCTCAAGCAAAAGGTCAAAGGCATCTGAGGACAGGTGTCAGAGGTTGTCTTCTAACTCCAATACACAAACATCACACATACTACACCACACACAACACACCACACATACCACAAGATACCACACACACACACATACACACCACAAACACTACACCATAACACACACACACTTGTTTGGCTTGAAGATCCCAAGCTTCCAGTGAGAGTCCTTGGCCTGGCCATTGCTGTGCCCCATGCTTATCCCTGGAAGGCTCCTCTCAGCTGGGAGATGGCTAGGTTGTCCTGCTAGCTTCAGAGGACCAGTTTTGAGTCTCTTGAGTTCTTATTGCACAGATCTGTCCAGCAGGCCCTACCACTGGCGGCTGCCCATATATCTACATTCAGTTCCTTGGGACTTGGATCATGTTAGGACTAGCTGCATGCTGACTGCTCTCCCGTGAGGTGGAAGACCCCCAGCCCATCATCCACCATGGTCTGTGGGTTGCATGTGCTTCTGTCAGGTGCTTGTTAAGCCCTGGCCGTGGTGAAGAAAGTGAAGTAGGCCAGAAGAGCATCCCATGCCAGTACAGTTGAGTATAGGTGTCTAAGAGATTAGTCAGGACCTGCCTGTAGTGATGCTCACTGGGGAAGAGAGCACAAAGCATGCAGGTTTACTTGCCTAGAACCTAAGAAGCCAGAGTGCTCAAGGATCCTAGCCTGAGGAGCTAGCTGTGTCCCTTTGCCAACCAGTGGAGCATCAGCCATAGGGCAAGAGGTGGTGGGTAGGGAACAGGTGAGTGCTGCGGCCTGGTATGCTGTAGCTAGGTATACCCTTGGAGAGCCTCCTTCTACCCAGGGACAGGAGGGAGAGATTTGTTTGCCAGAGACTTGCTTTTCATAGTGTCTTGTATGTAGGTACTCCAGAAGCAGGAGGAAGAGGATACATAGAAGGCCCTATAGGCCCAATAGCCCTGGGTGGCTGTGGTATGGGTGGCACTTCATTCCAGTGGACTTAGCCCTCCACATTCTAGGCAAGTACTTTACCACTGGTCCAGCAACAAGTACCTCTTCCATGCCCCACACCCATCTCCTCTGCTGGTGCTCATATGGGGACTCTGGCTAAACAGTAAGGGAAGGCAAACTGAGGGGCAGTTAAATAATAGCCTGGCCACTTAAGGCCAACGCTGTAGATGACATTGGGCAACCCCCCAATAAGGCATCTAGGAGCTACAGTGCATGCCAGGCAAGAGCATGTGGCTGGGCTGGACTTGCCAATAGGAGGAAACCCACCCTGGCCTTCCAACAGGTCCATCAAGCTCCAGGGGTGTAGTATCAGGGGACTCTGACCCATTCACTGATGGGCGTCTCAGGCTTTCTTCTGGACTGGTCCAGGTTCAGAGCCCACTTTTCTACTGCACGC